TGCGGGCACTTGCGCGGCCACGGTGACCTATGTTGCTCCGACCGTGGGCGACAACTGCGCGGATCCGGTGCTGTCGCAGGATAACGGCCTTGGCTCCGGTTCAAGCTTCCCAGTTGGCACCACCTTGAATATCTACACAGCGATCGATGCTGCTGGGAACATTGCCGGGCCCAGTAGCTTCACGGTTACGGTCTTTGACAACGAGAACCCAGTGATTTCGGGTGTGCCTGCTGACATCACAGTGAACAACATCCCTGGAACATGTGCGGCTACGGTGACCTATGTTGCTCCTACAGCTACGGACAACTGCCAGGGAGCGAGCATTGCGTTGACCAGCGGACCCACCTCCGGCGCGAGTTTCCCAGTGGGCAGCACTGATGTGAGCTACACTGCGACCGATGGTGCTGGCCGCACCGCAAGCCGCACTTTCACTGTTCAGGTCAATGACAACGAGCCTCCAACTCTTGAGGTGGAGGATATCGATGTGAAATCTTGCAGTCCGACTACGGTCACATTTTCTCCTGCAGCGGCTGACAACTGCCCAGGTGTGACAGCTGCTTGCAGTCCGTCATCGGGCTCCGAGTTCCCCGTCGGCGAGACAGAAGTGACCTGCACGGCAGTCGATGCCGCGGGCAAGACAACTCAAGAGAGCTTCGTCGTTTTGGTGGAGTGTGATGGCCATGGCTACTACAAAAAGTCCCACGGCAACAACATCCGCAAACGCAGAAACCCCCACATGAAGAAGTGGTTGCACTACTGGAATGAGTATCGCCGGTGATTTGCCTGAGAGACTCAGGGAATGTTTTTGTTTGAGGTTCTGGCGAGTTCTTGTCCCGAGCATCTCAGAAGAGGCCTCAGGCAAGATGATCAAGTCGCCATTTTGCTGTACAGTCCTCGCCTTTAAAACGGTATAGCCAAATTGCACGCACGTTTGAAAGCTCAAATCGTTTGGAGCTCGGTCCAGGTTGCATTGAATTTTCCGTTTAGAGTGGACCCGAGTTGCCGAGACATGCGGCTAGTGAGAAGGCCGCAAAAGCAGAGTTGTCGCATCCGGCAGCATAGCAAGGATTGATGTTTGAATGCGCTTGAGCTCCAAGGCCACTGTAGCCCATGAGAACCTAAAAAGCGAGAAGCCAGGTGCTGCTGGCAGGGGCCTGGAGGCCGCCGCAGAGTCCCTGTGTGACGGTACCGCGGACATCTCGCATGCAGCGCTTCCTGAGCCTGTAGGGCTGTAGGCTGCAAGTCACCACAGGCCTTCCGCATTACTTTCAGGCGCAGTCTTTCTCAAGTCCACGCCCGGCACATGCTTCACGCACACGCGAGTTTTGTCAGGCTATTCGCCATCATGATTGTCCAGCAGCTGATTCGTGGCAGTTCTGTGCTTGGGCCGTTGATGACGCTCTTGAACTGTGGCCGTGGCCAAGGCCCACGCAGTGTTTGGAAATTTAATGCCTGCTTACGACCTTTCTCTAGCTGTCTCTTTATAGATTCGTATTTTTGGAGTAAAATAAATATCTGAAATTATTTCTAATAATATATTACTCCTCTTACTAATTATACAAATAGATATATGAAATTTATCAAATAATAATTAAATATAATATAACCTTTAAATAATTATATATAAAATATTAAAGCTTAATTTATAATTAAAAAAAAAATAGAAAATTAATAATCAAGCTAAAAAATAGTCGTCAAAAATATTTAAAATAAACAATAAAATTCAATCTATTGGCCCGAAGAAAAAAATTATTAATTCTAAATTTTATTAAATTCGAATACAGATATATATTAAAGATAATTATATTTTTATTCTTAATAGATAATAAATAAAAATCTCAATAAATCTTATTAAATCAAGAATTTTTTTTATTTCTAATAAGAAAGAATATATAAAGAATAGCAAATATAATTTTCCATTGTTTTATAGAGCATAAAAATTATTTGGTCTTATTTTATTGTAAAATATAATAGACACCGATTATTATAGAATAAATAAAAATATATTTCTTATATCTAAAGAGAAATACGATATTATATTAAAACCGAATCTCGAATAAATAATTTATTAATATGAAATTAAATATCTATTATATTTATCATCTACCATTCAATATATTATATATTTACTAGATATCTTTATTATTATATTCAAGAAAATGAAGGAAAGCTAAAAGGCCACAGGCCTAAGCGTCTTGGGGATTATTTCAAGTACTTTCCACCTAATCTTCCTCCCTGTAGCCGAAACGGTCCCGCTTTTTGCCTACATTTTCCCCCCCCTCGCCCGGCTTCCTTTGATTTTGGCTGATTTTTTTGGCGTTTGCCTCCTCGACCCCCTCATTTTTTACTATCTTCCCCTTCCCCTCCTCCCCACCCCCCCCGCCCACCCCCCCGCCCGGCCCCTCCCCGGCCCCCCCCCTCCTTCCCTTGCTCCTCCGCTTCTCCCCTCCTCCTTCTCCACCTTTCCCAGCTTTGTAGTGTTGCCTTTCCGTTGCTGCCTCTGTTCCCTCTTTTTCTGTCTCCATGTTCTATTTTTATAGCTATTCTCCGTGTGCTACAAGATTTAGCTCCTGCTCTTTCTTTTCTGCTTGTTTGCTCGCCCACCTTTCCTTTTCCGGCTCCTTGGGACGGCACGGCTGGAGAGGCCTGAAGAGTATGAAGAAACAGAAGCACGGCTTCCCCCCGCCCAGCCG